TGTGTGTGTGTGTTTGTTTTTTAAATGAGAGTGAGGACGTAAGAGGGGTCCAGAGCTGTGGATGATCGGGAAGGTGTCCGGCCTATCTCGCTAAACCATGGCATATCAGCTGTATAGAAACACCACGCTGGGGAACAGTCTTCAGGAGAGTCTGGATGAGCTCATACAGGTGTGTGGGGGGGTTAGGGTCTGGGCAATTAGCTTATAAAAAGAGAGGTTTGTTATTAAAACGGCTTTGTGGCTGCTGTATCGGGGTACTAACGTTCGACATTTGGAAAACTTACTGATTGAAATGGAAAGCTATAGGTACTCCATTCATGTGGGAAGTGTTAACGTTCTAGACAAAGGAAAATGTTTTATGTAAGTGGCATAATCCCCTGTTGTGTGGCCCAGTAAATGAACAGCCAGATTAATCTGGAACACTGTAATCGATTTCATGCTCTTCTGGTTCATTCCAATTAATATTTATCAGAAGAAATGTTTGTGTAGCACAAAAAATCATGTTAGCACATCATTTCTTCTCTCAGAATTGAAATAGGAGAAAGGAAGTAAACATAGGAACATAATAGTTCTGTAAATTGTTCTTCTGGAGATCTGCTTCACGTGAGCTTTGTTTTGATGTTTTCAATTTTTACTGCATTTTTGAGTTTACTTTGAAACAACTCAAAATTCTTTGTTTGTTTTTTAAACTACTTTAGTCGCAGCAAATCACGCCTCAGCTGGCCCTTCAGGTGCTACTTCAGTTTGATAAAGCTATAAATTCGGCACTGGCACAACGAGTCAGGAACAGAGTAAATTTCAGGGTAAGATAACAATATGTAAAAGTTCTTCATGAGGTACAGTAAGTAAGCGTTGGTGCAGAATGTCGTTAAAAGCTGTGCCCTCTAAGCAACTTACGAAAGTCCATTTTGATTCTGAAATAATGACTATTTACATGTATATTCTGTATGCAATTGTAAAGTTTGTTATTTTCTGCCAGGCATCTTTTGAAGGAATGCAAAAATCAAAAACACATTGGTTGGTGGATGAAAACAGGGGAAGGGGAAGAGGGAAATGCTTTGATGGGTAGCATTGCCATCCTCAGCATCTTGCAGATGGGGAGGGGAACTTTTGCTTCTCTTAGTTGTACCTAGCAGAAGTGAGATGAGGCCAGATTTTCAGCCACATCTGTAATGTGAAGAGAGACTAGAAAGTTCTAGATCTACCCTTATGCAAGTCACTGGATCATTTTGTAGCTATTTTCTGTAGGTATCGTTAGAAAAATAACTTTGGTTTTTTTTCCTAGCCAGCCACCCTAATTGATGTCAGCAAATTGTTACATGTCAGTTTGATTGTAACTTTGAGGAAAAAAAAAAAACACAGTTGTGCTGTTAACTTACATGCTAATACTTCCTCTATAGTCTATGCAGAACACATTAATGAAGTGAGCTCTTAAGACTTTAGATTTTTAAACCATGCAGGTATGTTAAAAAGAGCATAGCTTCTTTTCTCTAACACACTTCACTTGTGTATGTAACATGGTATAGAAAGCTGTTCAGAATGTGTTTAGTGGATAAATTAAAAAAATGTTACTTGGAACTTAAGCTCAAGAGTATCCGTTTAAAATGTGTGAAGATGAAGGCCAAAAGGTTTACATATGAATGTTCTTAGTAACACATCAAACGTGAGGGATACACCTTTCTGTCACGTATGTCAGTTTTGTCATGATTTTTTATTTAAACTATTGCTTTATTTAAACAATTGCAGAATTCATATCTTGTTATGATCACTGTTGTAACTGATTTTTCTTATAGCTCGTGTTTTAAGAAATCTTTTTTGATACTGATCCTTTATACACATTAGAAAAGTTATAAAACTTGGCATACCTGTGAAGCTTCCCCTTGGATAGACTATAATGTCACTACGTGGTCTTGAAAATTTCAGCCACTGGAGGGCATTTAAACTATGGTTTTCCTCAGATTTGCTTCCTTGCCAAGTTTGTATGCATTCAGGTTTACAGTTGGCTTTATGGCAAACCTAGCTCTACAAGGTACGTAGTTCAGCA